TGACTGTTTAATGAGAAACTATTTGTTCTGTAAACCTTTACCTGAAGTACAATAAAATAAATAAATAAAATAAATAAATAAAGGAATCAAACGACATATTGAATCAGGCCAATCTGCTACAAAAAACCTCTTTAAAGTATTGAAAAGCAAAGGTATCACTTTGAGGACTAAGGTGCGTCTGACCCAAGCCATGGTATTTTCAATTGCCTCGTATGCATGCAAAAGCTGGACAATGAATAAGGAAGACCGAAGAATTACAGCGTTGGTAGAGAATTTTGAATATACCACGGACTGCCAGAAGAACAAACAAATCTGTCTTGGAAGAAGTACAGCCAGAATGCTCCTTAGAGGCAAGGATGGTGAGGCTACGTCTCACATACTTTGGACATGTTATCCGGAGGGATCAGTCCCTGGAGAAGGACATCATGCTTGGTAAAGTAGAGGGTCAGCGAAAAAGAAAAAGAGGAAGACCCTCAACCGATGGATTGATAGGGTGGCTGCAACAATGGGCTCAAACACAGCAACGATTGTGAGGACGGTGCAGGACTGGGCAGTGTTTCCTTCTGTTGTACACAGGGTTGCTATGAGTAGGAATTGACACAATGGCACCTAACAACAACACCATGACCCAATGAAGTAAGATGCATGAGGAGTTAATAGAGCATAATCGGTTTGGTTTTCAGATTGAAGGAAAGAAAAGGGCCTCATGTGCCAAGATTCTAAGGATATATAAGTCCAGTTCTATAGCCCTTAGTCTCAGAGATTACTGTGAAAATGCTGATATAAGATGAAAAGACTTGGAGTACATTAAGATAATCAACTTTGCAGAAATAATTAGGAGCAAGTCCTACTTCAAGGCGCATGTTTCCAAGAATATAGAACAATAGCCAAACAGAAAAAGAAAAAAGGCACTACCAAAGAATAAAACACCCTATGAAATGCTGAAATATTTCAAGGCTAAGGGGTCTTTTCTAGAAATGATATTTACTGGATGAGTTTTTAAAATCTAAAAGAAGTTCAACATAGATGGAGAATATAGAGTCTGTGGCAAAAAAAACAAGACTAACAACGTAGGTATAGGCTGGGTCACAAATGGGCCTTATAAATCACGTTAAGGGTTTTGGACCGCATTCTAGAGACAATAGGATGTCATTAAAGGGAACAGAGTAGGTATGACTCAACATGCATTATAGAAGAAACACTCTGACTACAGAATGGAGATTAGTTTGCATGGGAACAAGACGTTAGAAAGTAAGACCAATTAGAGTCTCTTGCAGTAGCCCAAGTGGGAAACAATGATGAATTAAATTAGGGTGACAGCAGGAAAGTTGGAAAAAGTAGATGAGTTCAAGGGATATGTGGGAGGTAAAATGACAGAACTTGGTAATTGATTCAACGTGGAAAGTGAAGGGTAGAAAATTGCCAAGAATGATTCCAAGTTTCTGGCTTGAACGACCAGGTGCATGGTGATACATTTCACTAAAACAGGGGAAAATGAAACAGGAGCAGGTTTTGTTTGTTTTTTTAGGGTGAAGGAGGGAAATGGAGATGATGAGACTACAGTAGTTTTGTACTTGCCTGCTTTAAGGAGTTTGTGGAAGAGCCAAATGGACATGTCCAGTAGGTAGTTGGATAAAGAGGTCTGACGCAAGTTAAGAATGGAGATTGAAAGGACAGTCACTGGCAAATATAACAATGTCATGTGAATGGCTGAAATCACTTAGGGAAGGTCTGTATGTTAGGAAGAGCACCTCGAACAGAATGAAAGAAAAGCACCAACACCTGAGGGATGAACACAGGAAGAGAAGATTACAAAAGAAATTATAAAAGATGTTTAGCATTACAAAAGAGATTGCAAAGATTTTTATATCACGAATCAAATCAAAATATTGTGGAAAATATTGTAGAAAGCACAGCTGTAAAAGTATGATGAAAACAAGGTATAGTATTTACTGTTGGTGCCATGGCCAGATCCCCTTCATTGGGCCAGTGCACTCATCCCACAGTCACCACAGGTTAAAGGGAGCCACCTCATCCTAAAATGCCTGGGAGGGTATGCCTTCCTCCAGGGGGTCCACAGGCAACGACTGATTGAAATGAGCATACCGAAGCCCAGGCCCCCTGCCTCAAGGTGGGACAAATCTGTGGTGCCATTCATGTTCCATATCTACCTGTGGGGTTAAATTGAGGCCAGACTTCAAATGAAATCACACCTTTGCTTTACTTCCTCCCCTTCCCTACCTTGATTCCTTACTTCCTTATAGGTTTCTCCTGAGAGCACTTCCTCACTAAATCATTTGCTCAAGAATCCTCATCCCAGGCTCTGCTTCTAGAGAACTTAGTCTAAGACATCAGGAAATTGTGGTGTGTTTGAAATCAAAGGAAGAATTATTCTTGAACTATATATTTATATTTTATGCATGTTTCTATATGCATGCTTTATTTTATAATAAAAAAATGTTAAGGAGGGAGGGAGGAGTCAACCATTTTGAATGCTGCTACACGTTACTAAAGATATTGAGTAATATAAGGACAGATAAGGGCTCATTTTAGCAACAGAGCCAACACTGGTGATCCTGGTTATAGAAGTTGCCTTAGAGTCATGGAGTAGGAAGTCAGACAGCTGCGGGTGGAGAAATGAGTGGGAGGTGAGGAAGTAGAGACAATAACGTAGAGCACCCCTTTAGGAAGTATGGCTGCGAAGGGGAGGAAAGACAAAAGCACTATTTGGAGGGAAGACTTTTTTTTATTATTCAAGATGAGAGGTTCTTGATCACATTTATATGCTGATGGGCCAGATCCAATAACAAAGGGACAGGTTGAAAATATAAGAGAGAAGAGTCACAATTAAGAGCAAAAGTCTAGACAGAACTGCTTTTAAGATGTTACAGAGGGAATTCAAGTCAGCTAGGGAGTTTGAGATCTCCTTTCACATGGAGAGTCTGAGTTGATTATGCTTTTCCCAATACAATGTAATGTCTAAGTATCAGGGACCAGAGTACTTGGGTTCATCTGGGGGAAAAAAAATCAGAGGTTTTGGACCGAGGCAAACATTTATCATAGTCTTTTTTCTTTTCAAGGGTTAATGGTTCTTACCCGCCAATATCCTGCTTCACAAAGTCCCCAGGTTCTTGTCGTCTTGATTCACCTTGACCAGTTGCTTCTGGGAAACTACTGATCAGGAAAAGAAGCCCAAGGCTGCTCATGTAGAAGTTACTCATTTGTGTGAGTATCATCTTCTTAGGCACCAACCTGTGAGAGCCACAGTTCAGGGAAAGAGGAAAGGGAAAGGTGTAGAAGACAAAGGGGTAGAGGAGCAAGAGATAAAAAAAAAAAAGATTTTATTCAACTCTATTAAATCCTATTCACTCCTCTAACAGTCAGTTACTCCATGCTTAATGTGACAGTCCTCTTTCTCCAACTAACCAATGCCACCAAAATTCACACCCAATATACTGTTCTCCTGAATATACCAGAGCCCATCCAAGAAAGGATGCATAGGGTAATGTAAAGGGCACTACATCAGTAGTCAGGAGTCCTAGGTTCTAATTTCAGCTCTTTCCCTGTCTCCCTATGTGACTAGGCGAGCCTCAGTACTTTCCTCAGCCTCAGTTACCTCTTATCATAATCCAAAAGCTTAAAATAACCTATCATGCCTTCATTTTATGTGCTTCCAACTCCCTGTTTGATCTTTAGTATCACAAAGGCCTTTGCCACAGGTAACTGTAACATGTAGAAAATCCAAGGCTATTAATACCTGGAGTCTCATTATAGTATTTTTGGGATTGATTCTCATCTTGACAGAGTTAAGCAATTTTCCAAAAGATCAAAGGGCCTGGAGTAGATAGACTGTTTCCTTTGCATCAGGCTGAGAAAATGTTGCATGATGAGACACCATGGCTCTTGAGCAGGAATACAGTATTTCTCCATACAGAGATACGTGTGGGAAAGCCAGCTTCTTTAGGTAGGAGCCACATCATAAAGAAGAAATCCAAGAATAGCCTCCTGCCACAGAAATCCTTAAGACGTCAGCAAATAATACTGATGATAGAATTATGAGATTTGGACTTGTCTATATATAGAGCTGTTCTCATGAACTCTGGTCCAGTGGAGGTTTACCCAGGACATGGGGTTAAGAAAACAGCCAATAAAGTGGTCCATGCATACTAATTCTAAACCTCTGGCTTCTCTGACTCTCAGACACTGACCACCTGAAGGGCACCTAACTCTGACCCAACATCATGCTCGTTTTCAGTAATCTCAGTGGTTTAACTTGAAAAGGGCAGAATTTCATTCTCACTAGGATAGCTGCTTACTCTGGATATGGCCTTATCTTCCCTGCACACAATGCTTCTGTCAAAACTACCATCTGTGGACTTACAGAATGCCTTATCCACAGCCATGATATCCCACACAACTTGGTTGGGCCATGATTCTCAGTGGTTTGGCAGTTATGATGCCGTTTGGCAGTTGTATAATGATGTAATCACCGCCATGATGAGATCTGATATAATGTGATCACCTCTATGATGGGATCTGCTGTGAGTAGCCAATCAGTTGCAAGGGATTTTCCTTGGGGGTGTGGCCTGCTTCCAATATAGGTGGACTTTCTGGCAAAGCTTGTGGGCTTTCGCTTGCTCTGGATCCTGCAGCTGGCTCTAGTTCATCTGACTCGAGCTAGCAGCTTACTGCTGTCTTGTCTGCCAGTCTTGGGATTCATCAGTCTCTGCAGCCTGTAAGCCAGGACAAGCCTCCAGCCCAGGACTTCAGATTTTCCAGCCTCTACAACAGCGTGAGCCATTTCCTTGATATAAATCTCTCTATATATGTATTTCTACGCTTTACTGGTTTTCTTCTCTAGTGAACCCAGCCTAAGACAGGGGTGTTATGAGAACTAAATAATAGAATGCATTTACAGAATTAAGCACTGTTCTTGACATACAGTCATCCTTGATCACTGTAAGCTACAGGTCAGTTCCCATGGTCATACCTTAAACCTTGTCATTACAAGTCCATGATCTCAAATCACTCTCTAGCCACATCTTTCCCGCCCTTTTCATGAAGTACTTTCATGCTGTTAATTCTTCCACTCCCCTGGGATCTCCAATCCATTGATGCTAACACCTTTGAATCATCCATCATCACCTCATACTCTCACCTCCTTCCTTATCCTGCCTGGATTACATACATAGTCCATAATTAAAATCATTACAGTTCTTCTCTGGCATGTACCCTCAACAGACCCGCCTCTCTCTTGCTCTGTTGTATCTGCCTGGAAAAACCTATACCCTGGTTAATTCCAACTCTTTGCCTGCAGATGAGCAGCTGAATGTAGCTGCAGAAAAATGCATAATTATGCCTGACTGGTCACTCTTTAAATTTTCTTCAACAAACTTCAAATGGTTCATGATTCTTTTATATTTGCCAAATCAATTCACTCTCCCACTCTCTGAAACAACTATTTCTTACTTTATTTTCTCTCCTTAAACCTCCAATAACTCTTCTCCCAGACTCAGCAGATAGCTTTGTTTATCTTACCAAGGAAATAAAAGAAATCAGAAGACAATGCCCTCATCTTTCTACCACAAATTATACCAACCTACCTGAATCTCAGCCATATGCTCTGCCTTTCCCTTGGTTACCAGTGGTGTTCGTGCTCCTATCAAATACTACTCCTCCCACATGTGCCCTGGGTCCCATCTCTTGTCTCCTGCTCAAGAATTTTACTTCAGTGATTGTCTTCTCTCTCCCACACTTGTCAGTTTTTCCCTCTCTACTGGCTCAGTCCCTGCAGCACAAAAATAATGTAATATCATCCATCATTAAACAAAAAATCCTTTGACCTGACATCCCCCTCAAACTCTTTCTCAATTTCTCTGCTTTCCTTTATGGTAACTCATTTCAATAATATTCTATATCACTACCTCAACTTCCTATCCTCGAGTTCTTTCATATCACCCACACCAATCAGGCATTTTCCTCTAACAACTCCATTGAAAGCACTATTATTAATTCATTCAAAACTTGTGGGGCACATCTATGTACCAGGCACTGTTCTAGATGCTGGGAACACAGCAGTGAACAAAACAGCCAAAAAGAGAATCAATGAAGAAAGAGAGGAACACTAGACCGAGTACTCCTCTCTCTAACACCCCACATCAAATCCACCCATATCTAATCCATATTCACACCTTGATTTCTCTGTTCCACACTCTATATTCAAACTATCAGCTTATTCTGTTCACTTCAGAACAGATCCAGACTCTGACCACTTCTCACTGCCTCCAAAGCCCCCAGTCTTGTCCAAACCACCATCTACCCCCCTGGACTACTATAATGAATGGAATCCTAACTTGTCTCTCTGCTTCCACTTTTGCCTCCTTATAGTCTGTCATGGATTGAATTATGTCCCCCCAAAATATCTGTCAACTTGGCTAGGCCATGATTCCCAGTATTGTGTGATTGTCCATCATTTTATCATCTGATGTGATTTTCCTATCTGTTGTAAACCCTATCTCTATGATGTTGATGAAATGGGATTAGCTGCAGTTATGTTAATGAAGCAGGACTCAATCTACAAGACTGGGTTCTGTCTTGAGCCAATCTCTTTTGAGATACAAAAGAGAGAAGCGAGTAGAGAGACATGGGGACTTCATACCACCAAGAAAGCAGCACTGGGAGCACAGCGTGTCCTTTGGACCTTAGGTTCCTGTGCTGAGATGTTCCCAGACCAAGGGAGGACCGATGACAAGGACCTTCTCCCAGAGCTGACAGAGAGAGAAAGCCTTCCCCTGGAGCTGGCACCCTGAATTCGGACTTCTAGCGTACTGGACTGTGAGAGAATAAACTTCTGTTTGTTAAAGCCATCCACTTATGGTATCTCTGTTATAGCAGCACTAGATAACTGTCATGGATTGAATTGTTTCCCCAAGAAATATCTGTCAATTTGGCTAGGCCATGATTGCCAGCATTGTATGATTGTCTACCATTTTGTCATTTGATGTGATTTCCCTATGTGTTGTAAATCCTATTGCTATGATGTAATGAGAGGGATTAGTGGCGGTCATATTGAAGAGATCTACAAGACAGTGTCTTAAGTCAATCTCTTTGGAGATATAAAAGAAAGAAGCAAGCAGAGACATGGGGACCTCATATCACCAAGAATGAAGAGCAGAAGCACGTGTCCTTTGGAGCCAGGGTCCCTGTGCTGAGAAGTTCCTCGACCAAGGGAAGACAAGGACCTTCCTCCAGAGCTGACAGAGAAAGCCTTCCCCTGGAGCTGATGCCCTGAATTTAAACCTGTAGCCTACTAGACTGTGAGAGAATAAACTTCTGTTTGTTGAAGCCATCCACTTGTGGTATTTCTGTTAGAGCAGCACTAGATAACTAAGACAATAACTAAGACATAGACCATTCTCTACACAGTCACCAGAGTGACCTTTTTAAAATATAAGTCAGATTATATCACACCGCCCTTCTCAAACTTTTCCAATGTATTTTCCTTGGACCCAAAACACTTGCCATGACCTAGAAGGATCTACTTGACTTGACCACTGGCTACCTCTGAAACCTCGCCTCTCTCCACTATCCCTCTCCCTGACTCAAACCAAGTCACACTGGTTTTCATGCTGTTCCTTGAAAACACCAAGCATGCTCCTGCCTTAGTGGCTTTGCACTTATTCTTCCTTCTGCCTTATGCTCTTCCACCATATATCAATTTGGTTTACTCCTTCACTTTCTTCAGGACTCTAGTCCAGTGCTACCATAACAGAGAAGCCTTCCCTGATCAACGTTATCTAAAATTGACTGTCCTCCCACATCTCTCTCTATCTCCTTGTTGTTGTTGGGTGCCTTGAGTCCCTTATGCAATTTTATTTTTCTTACATGATGTATCATTACCTAAAATTGTATTTTATACTTATTTGTTTATTGTTCATTTTCCCTGACTAGATACAAGCTTCACTGGTACAATGACTTTACCTCTATCTCCGGGCCATATAATAGTACCTAGCACATGGTAGCTAATCAATAAAATATCTGCTGGGGGGAGAGTGCTGACACATTGTGGGGATTGCAACCACTGTCACAAACAAATTGTGTATACATTTTTGAATGAGAAACTAATTTGTGCTGTAAACTTTCACCTAAAGCACAATAAAATTAAAAAATACATATTTGTTGAAAAAAGTGTGAACACTGTCCTGTGTTCATGCCTCACTGCTATGGGCATCCTTTCCTTCTCAGAGATATATTTT